TAATTGTGTACCAGTTTAACGTTGAATATTATTTATGATTTTAACTTTATACAGAAGTGCCAAAATACTACAATTGTCCTTAAGTATTTTCACACATTTATATGTACACACACACACATTTCAAAAAGTTTTTGTGTTCAGTATATATGAAAGCCGCCTCAGTGCAATGATATTGATTCCAACGGCATTATTTACTTCAATATAGAATCTGTCTAATCTCTAATAGAAATATTTCAAAATTTTGGCGACAAAATGTCAAAAGTAATTTTTTATCACTTAGCAAAATAAATGCGGTTGCTAAAGTGAGTATTTATGTAAAATAGTTTTACGAGAGTTTGTTTGTTTGTTTTAGTATTTCGCCCAAAGCTACTCGAGGACTATCTGTATTAATCATCACTAATTTTCAAGTGATAGACAAGATAAAATGCAACTGGTCAACACCATCAATGATTGGAGTACTCTTACCAACAAAATGTGGAATTGACCGGCACAGTATAACGTTCCCACGGCTGAAATGACAAGTATGTTTGATAACGGGATTCGAACTCGTGACCCGAACATTACGAGTTGAACGCCCTAACCACCAGGTCATGCCAGGCACTATTTTACGAGAGAAAAATAAAATTTTCAGGATTTTAGCTTAGTAAGAGTAAAATATATAAACAAGGAATGCTGTGGAAATATGACTCTGACAAAATTTATAATACAATCACCTCAAGCTGTTAAAATAAACTAGGAACAAAACAGAGGTGGCGAATTACTTTTAAGTATTTTAAACTGAAATTTGCGTTGATGTTTTACGCAAAGCTACACAACAGGTTATCTGTGCTCTGTCCACAGCGAGGAATCGAACTCTGGATTTTATTACTGCAAATCGGGAAACTTCAACGCTGACTTTCCATTTGTGTTGAAAGCGTTTAGAATAATAATGAAAACTGAAGTTAAACTTAGTATAAGCTGCTAAAAAGGATGCTAATAAGTATATTCAATTCACAAGAATCACAACTGTGAAAATCCTTTAAAGATGCCCCCACCCCCACTGGCACAGCGGTATGTCTGCGGACTTATAATACTAGAAATCGGGTTTCGATAACCTAGGTGGGCAGAGCACAGATAGACTTTTGCGTATCTTTGTGCTTAATAACAAAC